TGCCAAAGAGAGACTGGGAATGGGTTTGGTGGCATCTCTCGTAGGATCACAGACAATCTTGCCAGCTCCCAGCTTTGTACTAGACTAAGGAAAGGGAACAAGATGTCAGGCGACCATTTGGGGAGGGTCAAAGGTGCAAAGTGGCTCCTTTTGAAGAGGCAGTTTTTCTGGAATGCAGCTAAGGCGAATGGTAAGCAGGAGTGGGGCTCATCTTGGTGGAGCCACCAATCTGTCCTAGTCATTGGCAGTACAGTGCTGGTGAGCTGAGCAAACTGAAGCGTGTCCCCAAACTGGTCCTTCCTCCCCCACCCTTAGTCCTCACGTTGGCCTTTATGGCTCCGCAACTTCTGCTGCTTCTGTTCCTTCCTCCCTCTGACTCTCCAGACCAAAATCCAAGTTGATGCAGCTCTTCTTTATTGCATGGCCTCTTAGGAAGGTGAGAATTTGACCCCTGGTGCCAGTCAGTCTAGGTTCGAATCTCAGCACCACCTAACAGCCAACCAGAGCCGGGCAAGTTGCTGACCTACTGTGTCTACTTTGTCATACCCATGCCCGCCTCACTGTAAGTGGCAAGATCCGATGTGTTGCCATATGGAAAGTGCTCAGGTCCGTCTCAGGGGGTGAGGCAGGACGGACACTCTACTAGCCTCCTCAAAATGCGCCTCTTGACCGAATGGAACGCATGGTTTGTTATTAAGTGCAAGAACAGGTCTGAAGAGAGAAACGGATTCCAGTTGTTGCAACAGCACTGGCCTCACAGAAAGAACGCAGCTGAGGAGAGAGTTGCTATCAGGCAACGAACCACAGGAAAATGGAAAACAGAGAACACTGGACACGATTGCGTTTGGGACTAAGCCAGTGAGTAACAAGAGCGAAAGCTGATGGCGCGATGGGGAATGTGGCCGGAGCAGCTCGGGTCCAGGCTCTCTCTGCAGCTGGGAATGCAGTCGGGCAAACCCCGGGAGGTCAGGACCAGAGCTGGGAAACTGCCAGGCAAAGGGAAGACTAGTCTCCCAGAGAGAGCAAACGACCCCCACCTCACCCCTGTAGCACCCACCCCACCTCACCCTGCAGCACTCGCCCCACCTTGCCCCTGCAGCACCCACCCCACCTCACCCCTGCAGCACTCTGCCCCACCTCCCTACACATACAGGCCACACCCCATGGCCCCACGGAGGGCAGAAGGCTGCACGGAGCTGAGCCAGGGATGGAGTGCTGCCACCCTGGACAGCCTGGCATGCTCCGGATCTTGGATCCTATCCCCAGTATAGGAAAAAAAATATGAATTCTTTTTCCAGAACCTAACACCTCTGAGGATGAGAACTGTTGGTTACAGTTTAGCCATACAAATTGATTTTCTGCCCAAGAAACATCTCCATGTAAATAACACTGATATTATTGCTGAAGTGACTTTTTTTTTCAAACTGAAATATGTCCACAAAAAATTCTTTCAGCCAGGACTGTTTCACAGAGAAACCCTGTCTCAAAAAACCAAACATACAAAAAAATTCTTTGGGTTTTCAAGCAAGCCTTTAAATATCATCTTATGCTTGTCAGTCTCCATCTAATCTAACATTTTACCTCAGACAGGATGAAAGGGACAAGGGGTGTTAAAAAACTGTCAAGAGACTCCTGGAAAGTAGGAGAAAGACATGAGCTTGGGCCAGAAGCATCAACACTAGAAGTGAGGCCAGGAGGTGGTGGTGCACTCCTTTGATCCCAGCACTTGGGAGGCAGAGGCAGGAGGATCTCTGTGAGTTTGAGGCCAGCCTGGTCCACAGAGAGCTAGTTCCAGGATAACCAGGACTACACAGAAAAATCATGTCTCAAAAATCAAAAACAAAACAAACAAACAACAACTAAAAGCTAGAAGCAGGCCACAAAATCCCTAGCCTGTATGTTTAGATCTGGCCCCGGTGCTAAGTGTGGCCCAGATGGACATACCACCATCCTATAGCCGTCTCCCAAGTTCATTTCCCTTCTCTTGGAGCAAAGGACGCCCAGCAACCTCTCAGTGTCTCTCACGTGCAAACTGCTATTTCCTCCACAGGGTCTCAAGCTGCCAAGATTAGATGGTGAGCCAGACATGCAAAGCCAGCAGCAGGGAGTGGAGACAGGAAGCTCTGGAGTTCAGAGTTATTCTCTGCTACATAGTGAGTTCAGTCTGAGGCAATCTGGTTAGGTAGATCATCATGCTACACACACACACACACACACACACACACACACACACCACACACACACACACACGCACACACCTAAGGAGACCAGAGACTCCCCTAGTGGATGCCTGAGATGAGACTGAGGACAATGGCAAATCCTAATATATGTATGCAAATCATATATATGATAAAGATAATAAATTGGGGGCTATGCTCAGCGGTGGTGGCACACACCTTTAATCCCAGCACTTAGGAGGCAGAAGCAGAAGGATCTCTGTGAGTTCAAGGCCAGCCTGGTCTACAAAGCAAGTTCCAAGACAGCCAGGGTGAAACACAGAGAAGCACTGTCTCAAATAAATACATAAATAAATAAACTGGACTATCAAGATGAATCAGGAGGTAAGGGTACTTGCAGCCAAACCTGAAGACACAGTTTGATCCCTGGGACCACATGGTGACAGGAAAGAACAAACTCCTGCAGGTTGTCCTATGACCTCCATGCAGGTGCTGCGTGTGGCACACACACATACACACAATGATTAAATAAAGTTTTAAGTTTACAAGTCGGATACAACATGAAGTTAGTCATATCCTTGATGTAGCAACTGAAATTGTGAAAATCGTGACCTCCGACAAGTGGACAGGTTGAACCAATGCTTTTAAGTCAGGGAAAACAGGGCGGGGGTACAGCTGAGTGGCAGGGGTGATGTTGGGCATGTGCGAGACTCTGAATTACACCCATCCCCAGCACCATCAAAGAGAGCATGTGTGTTGTCAAAAGGCTGGAGGCTCGGTAACATCTGGATCCACTTAACCCCGGCTCCCTAAACGGCTCAAGGCATCAGGCCCATTGCACTTAACTTCTAGTTCAACATGCTAGGGAGGGGTGGAGCAGCGTGCAGAGGGACAGCACAGGGGACACATTCAAGCGTTTCTCAGCTACCTTACAAAGAGTAGAGTGAGGTCAGCTGGGGCCAGGCCATAGCAGCTTGCCAAACTATGGCAGAGGTGAACTCACCACACCCCAAAAAGGGTAGAGACCAAAGTCCACTAACTCTGCAGCTTTTCTGTGCAGAGAGGAAAGTAAGGATCCCTGACAGCTCTCCACAGGCTGTCCATACCAAACCTTTCTCTTTCAATCATTTCTTCTGGCAGCTTCAGAGGCTGACTGAAGGCTGAGGGGACACCTAAAGTCCAGACAGGGTGCATAGGCCTGCCCTCCACCCAAACACACAGACACTGCTGCGGGGCAAGGACCATGGAGCTACCCTTGCAGCTGCTCTGTGTTAAGTGACAGTGAAGAGCTCTGACCATCTCTGGGAATCTTAAGCCGGGAAGAGGGAGACAAATTCCAGCATTGTGATAGGAATAGGGGGTCAGTGACACCAGCACTCAGGAAGCTGAGACTGTCACTTGAGGAGGCAGAGGCAGGCAGATCTCTGTGAGTTCAAGGCCAGCCTGGTCTACAGAGTGAGTCCAGGACAACCTCCAAAACAATACAGAGAAACCCTGTCTTGAAAAACCAAAAAAAAAAAAAAAAAATTTATCACTTGAGCCAGGAGCCAAGAGTTCAAGGCCAATTGAGGAACATGCTCAGACACCAGCACAAAAGGTGTTTGGCTTGTTGTTTTTAACTATTAGATTTATTTATGTGTGTAAGTATTTTACCTGCATGTATGTGTGTGTACCACTTATGTGCCTGGTACCTGAGGAGGTCAGAGGAGGGTGTCAGATCCCCTGGAACTGATGGCTGCTGGGAAGCAAGCTAAGCTCCTCTACAAGTAATCTCAGCCACTAAGCCATCTCCCCAGCCCGTTTTTGTTTTTAAATGAAAAAGTGATCTTGTTATATCGCTATGAAAAATGAGGCAGATCTACCTGTGCTTACAGGGAGCAAAGTCCCCTTGATTAATAAAGTTGTTGTTTTCTTTTCTTTTTAAGTGTGGTCAGGGTGTGCAAAAACAGTAGTGTACTATTATTGTGTAAGATAAAGGAAAACTTGAAGGGTGAGTGAATATATCTGATGATTCCAACAGCAGTTGTCCTGGGGCGGAAAATGAGGCATGGGAATAGATCTGTGAAAGGGGCAGGTTTCTTTCCCATAATTTTATACCTTATGCATTGACTTGTATGTGTAAAACTCTAATATATGTATGTCTTCATATACATTACGTGCATGAATGTGCATGCAAATGTGCATATGTATATATACATACAAAGAGCAGGGGACATTATGCACAGTTCATCTTCTCAGAACTTCATGTCCTCCTTCAGGGACTAGCTCTCTGCTGCCTGCCCACCTCCACAGGATCCCGCCCACCCACACCAGCCCAGCCTCCTGCCAAGCTCAGGACACGGGTTCCAGCTGCCCCAAGGACTCCTTAAGTCAGAATGTCTATTCTACGTCACACACCGCAGGAACCTGGAAGCTGATTGGGTCTATCTAGTTTTTTTTCCCTCTCTGATACATCTGCCTATCAACAATGAACTCCAGCCAGAGAGTGACAGAGAAGACTGGGCGGGAGGGGCAGGGTAAGAACACTAGGAGACTCAGAAGGCCTGGGTCCTATTCAGCCTGCGACTTAAGACAAATGGTTTTACCTTTCTGAGTCTCGGTGTCATTAACTGAAAAAGAAGGTGGCCGCAAGATACCATCTGCAACTGAGACTCTAGACCCAACATCTCCCAATCCCAGCATGCACTGCTCTTCTCGGACATCGATCCCCCTCTGAGCTGGCCAGTATGTGTGGTGTCTTGGATGGCACTAATCAAATGCAACCAGCATAAGACATTTTAAACATTCTAGAAACCTCACTACAAAAAGCAGAAACAGCTGAAATTAGTTCCAATAGATTTTATTTAACCCGATACACCCAAAATACTATTATTTCAACATTTGATCAATATAAAAATCTTTGTATTTCCATTTTTTTATTTTAGCTTGTGTTTTTATGTTTTAGTGCTTGGTCTTTGAAATAGTGTGTATGTCTTACAATGACAGAATGCCTCTACACAGACGAGCCACATTTCATGCTCAAAAGCCATCTTTGGCTGATGGCTCCTCTACTGGTTGATTTACCAAGAAGGCCCACACTTCACTTTGACCTCGCTACGCCCAGAGCTGAGGACCAGCCTACATCCTTGGGAAGGCCGAAGTAACAGCAGGAGTTTCGGTTGCAAATTCCTCACCTGACAGGTAGGTGGTTAGGTTAGCACTGGCGCAGGCTCAGCCGGGCCTCAGCTCAGCCACCACTCACAAGAACTCTTCCTGGGGCAGGAGAAAGTGCCAAAAGCTTCCTACGTGCCCATTTCGTCACGTGAATCCCTGTGAGATGAGGGATGACTTACAGATGAGAAGGCGGAACTCTGCCCAGCAGTCACCCACACAGCAGGGCAGGGATATGAGCCTTGCTCTGCAGCTTCAAAGAGCTCACAGCACTGGTGAGGTAAACAATCCCACCACCATCCAGTCACCACTGTAGGAGGGGCATGAGACGGGCTGGGAAGCAGAAAGAGCTACTGAAGGGTGTCATGTAGCCCTTGAGCATGTCTGAAAAACCAAGAGTCTCCTGGGACAGAGCTGCTGTAAGACCCTCCGAAGCAACAGCTAAGCCACTGTGGAGAGGCCTGAGGAGGGCCTGGCAGCCAGAATGCAGCATGTCCAGGGAATAGGGTAACACAACAAAGGAGCCGGCAGCCGAGCCCCCAAACAATGGGCCTAAGTCTCTAATAAGAATCTAGACTTGCATCCTGTGGGTCATGGAAGCCATTAAGGGTTTTTTGTTTTTTTTCCCTAGGGCAGTGAATGTCCAGATTCTCATTTCAAAACCATTCTCATAAGGTGCATGAGTCACAAATATTCAAGAAGCTGGTGGGTGGAGTTCACCATTCGAGCCCTGGAGTTCTGGGCCAAGTTGGGCAACAATAGTGAGTCTGCCATCCCAAAAGTAAGCAAGAGAGGAATCATTGTCAAGGAGTCTCAGCCCTTCCTGGGTCCTTTTCTTTCCCAGCTCATCAGGGGTCTATTTAAAAGTCACACACAAAATGATAGGGAAAGGCTGTCGTGACTCCCAAGTCTTCAGGATGCAGATGGAGTTCTAAGTATCGTGCAGTTTCCTAGTTTCCTCTTCTAAGGAAAAGCTGTCGACTCACAGCTCAGCAAAAAGCTAGCAAACTCTCTCTGCATGCTCATCATCCACTCTGACGGAGATCGGGTGACAGATGGCCGGCTGAGGGCCTCCATACAGGTGACACCAGAATGAAATACAATTTACTGACACAGAAACACACGAGACGTTTGTGGTCATCGAAAGAAATGCTGAAACATGTCCAGAGCCTCCTCCCCAAGGTCTGTCCCTTTGGTCCCCATCAGCCCCCATGGCCCAGCCCCCACAGTCTTCCAGCTCACCTGATTACCCAGTTCCATTTTCAGCTCTCAACTCTGAGACTGGCCTACTTTTCACGGCACACGAGCAAAGCAACTTGGGTGTTTTACAAACAACAGACCACAGCTAGGACAACAGGGTACAGACAAGGGACCTGCCACAGTGAGCCCCGAGGAGAAACAGTGATGAGACAAAGTTAGCTGGACAGGTCAAAGGGTGGTGGGGTACAGAGGGTCCAAGAGGGCTGTGCTTGGCCCCTGGCATACTGGAAAACTGAGCTAAGACTAAGAGGCACCAAGAAAGATCACATTCCCCAGAGATAAGGTCGGGCAGGCTCACTTTGCTCCCAGTGGTCACCTGGGTGGGTCAGAAGCCACATTCCGCCTGATTAGCAAAATGCCTCAAGCAGACAGATGCCTCTTGCCCCACTGCAGGACCAGTGGGAGGGGATGGCATTTGTGGGAGGAGTATGGGAGAAGAGGCGTCTCTGGTTTCACTGAATTCAAACACTGCCCTGTGGTGCAAGTCTCAGAGGTAAGTTTTTCAAAAGCGAAGGCTTCTCCTCCAGATGTGTGTGAACCCCCAGCTAGCCCCCCGTTAGCACCCTGACCTGGAAAGTCACCCTCTGTCTTTGTCACAAAAATTTCCTGCTCCAGAGCCAAGTCACCCTCTGTCTTTGTCACAAAAATTTCCTGCTCCAGAGCCCCTCCTTTTTGAGGAGCTGTTGCAGTAAGAGGTAAAAGAGAACTGCTCTGGTCAGCCAGACCTCTGTCCGGTGAGGCTGGGCCTCAGGCGCCACTATTTCCACATTCCCTTTGAGGCCAGCCGCGGTGGGATGCCCAAGGGAGGGCTCAGGCAGCAAGCCACAGCTCACCTGCCTTGGTCACTTTCTAGAATGAAGTGGGCTCACTCTCATGGTGCCATCTGGATGGAGCTCAGCCACTGGACTCAACTTTTCTGCTTCTGGAGATGTGGACTGTAGGAGGCCAAGGCAACCCGGTAGGACCACTCAGTCACGGAGGGCAAGGGGGTAGAGCCGAGAGAGTGTGGCCTTCTGGATCCTGCGGAAGAGGTGGGCCAGCTGGTACAGGAAGGGCAGTGAAGAAGGGGTTGCTGTGGGAAAGGAAAGACCATCATGAGTGCTCTCCCCCAGCCCTCCATGGGGGCTGGAAACACATCTGGGCTTCCTGCTTTTAGCCGCCTTCTCAACAACAGGGAATTTCTCTTTCTCTGAGATACGTTTTCTCTACTCGAATTACAATAACCTTAAATATGCTGGAAAAAAAAAACCCAGATTTATTACATCGTAATCTTTCTGATGTCTCTGGAAAAACAATCCAGATTTATTACATCGTAATCTTTCTGATACACAGAGACACTGGTGTCTCTCGAGAGAAGCCCACACCCATGCGCCCAGGGGTGCCTCGCTCGCTTCCTTCTGAGTACCTCTCTTTCTAACTCCCATGCTTAGGCCGATATTAAAATATATTTACTGGGGCTGGAGAGATGGCTCAGTGGCTAAGAGCACTGGCTGCTCTTGCAAAGGCCCGGGTTCAGTTCCCAGGGTCTACATGGAGGCTCACAACCATCTGTAAACCCAGTTCCAGGGGATCCAACACTTCTGGCCTCCAAGAGTACCAGGCACACTTGTGGTGCACATACATACATGCAGACTCATACTCATTTTTAAAGTCTAAAAACCAACTCATGAGAAAAGTAAATACACTAGTAGCAATGGCTACCACTGGGGAGTCATTTTGGGAGACTTTCACTACATTTTGTACCTTTCTATGCCTTTTCAGTTTGGAGTCTTATGACAGTATTACCCATTTAAACACAAATTACATTGAAAATAAATAAAAATCTACCATTTGTTTATTTTCTTTTTCTTTTTCTTTTCTTTTCTTTTCTTTTCTTTTCTTTTCTTTTCTTTTCTTTTCTTTTCTTTTCTTTTCTTTTCTTTTCTTTTCTTTTTTTTTTTTTTTTTTTTTTTTTGGTTTTCTGAGACAGGGTTTCTCTGTATTGTTTTGGAAGCTGTCCTGGAACTCGCTTTGTAGACCAGGCTGGCCTCGAACTCACAGAGATCCACCTGCCTCTGCCTCCCGAGTGCTGGGATTAAAAGTGTGCGCCACCAATGCCTGGCTCCATTTGTTTATTTTCCTGTTTGGATTACATATTTAAAAAACAAAAAACATATATCTCTATCTTTGGTTTGATTTGGGGACATGATTTATTTTGTTTGAGACAAGGTCTTATGTAGCCCAGGCTTGCTGGGACTTCCACAGGCAAGGATGACTGGCCCTCTGATCTTTCTGTCTTCATCCCCTAAATGCTGGGACCACGGGGATGTGCCACCATACCACGTCTCATGTGGTGCTGGGAACAGAAGCCAGGCCTCAGTATACACCAGGAAAACATGGTATCGTAGTTCATCCCTGGCCTCCAATTAAGAAATACATATCCCGCCGGGCGTTGGTGGCGCACGCCTTTAATCCCAGCACTTGGGAGGCAGAGGCAGGTGGATCTCTGTGAGTTCGAGGCCAGCCTGGTCTACAAGAGCTAGTTCCAGGGCAGCCTCCAAAGCCACAGAGAAACCCTGTCTCGAAAAACCAAAAAAAAAAAAAAGAAATACATATCCCTTTCTTAAACATAAGAAATACCCCAGGTCCTTAGGAGGCTGAGGCAGGAGCTTAGCTGGGACCAAGCTTAGGTTGAGGCCAGGCTGGGCCACTCCAATGGGGAAAAGTGTTTAGGGCTAAGGAGAGGGCTCAGTGGGTAAAGTCCTTGTGGAAGAAGTGGGAAGACCAGGGTTTAAATCCTGAACACCCATGTGAAAGCCAGGCATGGGAGGAACATGAGCCTGTAATCCCATGGCAAGATCCAGGTTCGGTGAAGAGACTCTCTCAGAAACTAAAGCGGGAGGGCTGGGGCTGCGGCTCAGTGATAGAACACTTGTCTCACAAGTAAGAAACCCCAGACCTGATACCCAGTAACAACAGTAATAACAATAATAACAGTAATAACAACAACAACAAAAACGTGGGAAGAGAAGAAAGCAACCAACATCAGCCTCGGGTGTCCATGCTTGTGCACACACGCACACACATCACGTGCACACATGCTTGTGCACACATGCGCACACACATCACGTGCACACATGCTTGTGCACACATGCGCGCGCACACATCACGTGCACACACGCTTGTGTACACACGCACACACATCACGTGCACACATGCTTGTGCACACACACACATGCTTGTGCACACACGCTTGTGCATACACATCACGTGCGCACACGCTTATGCACACATGCACACACGCTTATGCACACACGCACACACATCACATGCACACACGCCTGTGCACACACGCACACACGCACACACATCACGTGCACACACAACTTGTGCACACACGCACACACATCACGTGCACACACAACTTGTGCACACACGCACACACATCACGTGCACACACGCTTGTGCACACACGCACACACATCATGTGCACACATGCTTGTGCACACACGCACACACATCACATGCACACATAGTGCAAGGGGGGAAGAAAGGTATTTATTTAGTCCTCTAAGGCTAGGGGTGAAACCCAGGGCTTCACAAAAGCTATGTATGCATCTACCACCAGAAACTACCCCTAACCCTCCATACAAGCTATTTTTCTTTAAAGCAACTGACCTCCTCCTTACAAGTTCTATTTGCAGCCCACCCCCAGGTCTTCCTCTCCTGAGGACCAGGACACATCTGGGGAAGCTCTGAGTGGCTCAGGACACTTTTTGCATCACATTTAAGAAATCAGCGTTTATGACACAAAAGTATTTGGGGGAAGTCATGAAGAAGTCGGGGACAGACATAAGCCGCACAGACTAAACGTCCCTCCCTTAAGTGTATTTTCCGGTCTGAGAGGATGCTTCCTCTGTCAGGTGTGGCTGCTTGCTGTCTTTTTCAGGGTTTCTGGAAGCTGCAGGTGACTTTCCTACATAATTGTCCACAGGAGACATTCCTGCTCAGAATCCAGCAAAGGGTTAAACAAACTCTGACTAAAGAAAAGGAGAAGTGAGGAAAACAGGGACCTAAAGTCAAAAGGTGACAGCTTTAAAAACAGACAAATTGTGTGACTCTGGTCTAGTCACTTTGCCTTTCTGGTTATTAGATTTCTCAACCAAAACTGAAAGAAAATGAATGGACCAAAATAAAGGACTTTCATTTCCTCTTGGCTTTGAAAGTTGCGTGATTCTACCCTACATTTAAATTCTTGTAAAAGGTAGAGACTAGGTCACAATTCATAAAGCAAGGGTAAGACAGACAACCTGGCTGGGGGATGCACACTTGCAACCCCAGCATTTGGGAGACTGCAACGTAAAACATTAGAGGACATTCTGTACTGACAGCAATACCTTGTCTTTTTTTTTTAAGGTGGGGAAGGGTGTTTCTCAAATAATGGTCCCCTAACTATGGCCCAGTGTCTGCACATCTGGGTAATCACTCCTCTGGTGTGTTCCCAAGTCTCACTTGGAAAGTTCATCTCTATGTCACAGTGAAGGAGAAAAGACGAACCACCCTGAGGTCTAACACACCAGCAGGGAAGGTTCTGTAACCATAAGATCATCAAGCTGTTTCCAGTTATTTTCCCATGATTCCCTGAGGCCCAGCACACACCAGCAGGGAGGGTTCTGTAACCTGATTATTAAGCTCTTTCCAGTTATTTTCCCACATCTTCTAAAATACATCAGAATTTCACTTACAATTTCAAGGTCACACTAGCCAGGAGACACCTGATCAACAGATTCTATTTTAGGTGTTATGGATGAGGAAGGCGTCCTTATCTTGCATTCTGACTAGAGGTCATCCCTGGATGGAGCAGAGGCTTAGGGTGACTCCATCAGGAGGGCAGGAAATGTTCTCCAACTGCTCTCCTAGGTTCTAGGCCTGGTCTCTCCTGCCAGGTGAGGTTGACTTATTTTTTATGGAAGAGGCTCGGAGAACAGTATCATAGAGGGTGGCTCTGTCCCAGCAGCACCTGCCCTCACAGGCCCTGCTGTAGGTGCCCTTCACTCACCTGGGTCAAAGCGCAGAACCAAGAGGAGGAGGATCAAGGCTGCCAGGAGGCTCTTTTTGAAGGGCTGAGAGAGAAGGTGGCTCGCTGCAGAGTCCCAAAGCCGGCGAAGCAACCTCAGCAATGACATCAGCTTATGGGAGAATGAACCTGACCAGGGGACAGAGCATTGCGGGGTGAGGCAAGCAAATCATCTTCCCTGGCTCTGAGACTTGAACCAGATCTGAAGAGTCAATCAAAATAGAATGAGAATGATTTCCTTGCACAGATCATAAAATAGTTCAAAAGAAAACGCTTCTGAAAGCGCTAAAACTGGCATTGTTTGTTTGGAGGTTTGGGGAGCATTTTCTTGATTATTGATGTGTGTGAGCCTATCCCATAGGGGCAGGACCACCCCTGGGTGGTGGTCCTGGGTTCTGTAAGAAAGCAGGCTGCCTGGTCTACAAGAGCTAGTTCCAGGACAGCCTCCAAAGCCACAGAGAAACCCTGTCTCAAAAAACCAAAAAAGAAAGGAAGGAAGGAAGGAAGGAAGGAAGGAAGGAAGGAAGGAAGGAAGGAAGGAAGCAGGCTGTTGATTCCCCAAGGAAGGCCTTACCCTCTGAGGAGTGGATGGAAGGTAGGAGGGGGGGGTGAGAAGAGGGATGGAAAATTGGGGCTGGAATGTAAAATGAAAAATAAATTTTTAAATAAAAAAGAAATGCCATAAATGAGACCAATTGCTTTGTAATGTAACCTTAAAAACTAATAAAAAATTAAATAAACACACACAGAAAAAAAGCAGGTCCCAGCACTCGGGAGGCAGAGACAGGCGGATCACTGTGAGTTCGAGACCAGCCTGGTCTACCGAGTGAGTTCCAGGACAGGGTCCAAAACAATACAGAGAAACCCTGTCTCGAAAAAAAAAAAAAAGAAAAAGAAAAAAGCAGGCTGAACAAGCCGTGAGGAGCAGGCCAGTATGCAGCACCCCTCTCCCCATGACTTCCACACAGTTCCTGCCTCCAGGTTCCTGTCTTCAGTTCCTGCCCTGACTTCCGTTAGTGAGGGACTGTAATTGGGAAGCTAAGATGAAATAAACCCTTCCCTCCTCAAATTGCTTCTGGCCATCGTGTTTTATCACGGCACTAGAAACCTAACTAAGGCAAAGGTAGATGGCCTGGCGGCCACAGGCAACTCTAAAACCAACACCTGCCAGCAAAGCAGGCCTAAGATCCCAGCAGGGCCACAGAGAAAAGGTTATAACCTGGAGAACAGGCTATGATTTCCTAATTAAAATGACAGGCTTTCATTTTAAAAAGAAGAAAATTTAACAGTCCCTAAGCTGCCCAAAGACAGAAGCTGCTGGAAGGAGGCATAAAGCCAATTGTTTTTCTAGTTCTACTCTGAAATGGATATTTTGTTTCTGATGGTGGCTAAGTACATAAAAAATATATTCAATGTGGAAATATAAAATCCAATGTGAAACTCCACAGCTTCTGTTCCGAATGGCTATTCAAACTATTTAGAAGATTATTGAATTGTATAGTCTTTCAGTCTCGTTAATTTTGGTGTGTGTTTTATTTTGTTGTTGTTTTGCTTTGCTTAATTTACAATCATTTTTGTCATATCCAATTATCATAGCAAATAAAAGGGAGGCAACCTTTTCTATAATAAAGTTTACACACACATTATATGTCCAGTTCCTGGCATTCACAGGTTCTGCCTATAACTCCAGCTCCAGAGAGATCTCTAGAGCCTCCATGGGTACCTGCATTCACACACACATACACAGGTATAATTTAAAATAATAAAAATAAACCTTTAAGAAAGGACAGAAGGCAGTGCTCCAGGAGACAGGCACTGCTCTAACCTTGGGAGTATTCACACACAGGCTGAAGGAAAGGGGGCTGAAAAGACTGAGGTGCAATGATGGTTTGGAGCCTTTAGGTTCCTGTAACAGAGCAACCCCCTCCCGGTTCCACGCCATTGCCTTGTAAGGATGCTACCAGAAGTCACTGGGTAGCACAACTTCGTGCTAAAGAACAAGGCGGACCTCAGCTAAAAGAACACTCAAAAGCGCTACTTAAGTGAAGGCAGATAGGAGGCAGGACATAAACACCCAACGCTGAAGGAGGCCATTTTTATTTCACAAGTTAGAGTCACACTATGTGTCTAATAGGGCCAGCATTTAAAGCAGGAGTAACAGCTCCCGAGCCAGTATGACAGAAGCAAAAAACCCTGTGAAAGGATCCCAAGGAAAAGGCCAATCAGACTCCAAAGGAAGTGACTTTTCTTTCTTTTGTGTTTTGTTTAAGACAGGGTTTCTCTGTGGAGCCCTAGCTGTCCTAGAACTCACTCCATAGACCAAGCTGTCCTTGAATACATAGAGATCCATTTGCCTCTGCCTCCCAAGTGCTGGGGTTAAAGTTGTGCACCACCACAATCAGCCTTTAATCCCTGCAACTGGGAAACAAAACAGGGTCAGGGGACTCAACAACACCCCCCCCCCATATGTAGACTCTCCTTGCCCTCTAACTTCAGAGGGTCTAGCTTGGTTTGTAAAATAACACAGTGGTTTTCTATTCTGTGACTTAAATCCTTAAGTTCCTAAACCTGGTACAGAGATGCCAGACCCCTTTGCAGAGGCCAGAGAGCCCTGATGTCCTACCTTCCTGGCTCAGCTTCTGCTGCTCCTGAGGACTCAAGTGCTCCCGCGTGAGCTGCTGCCTTGCTGTGCAGACGGCCTGGAGCACTGCTTCCCGCTGCTCCTCGCTGAAAGCTGCAGAGCCCACTGCCAGCCCCTCCGCCTCTGACAAGCGGCCCAAGGGTAGCAGCACCTGGAGCAGGTGGAGTTCTGCCAGTGATCCATACTCGGGAAGGCCCTGGTTGTCTGGGTCTTGCAGCCAGGCATCAGCCATAGCCAGCACAGCTCCAGGCTCTTGCATTTTGCTGTATAAAAGGATGCTGTGTGCCCAAACAATCCCCAGGAGAGAAGAATCAGTACTCTACAGGGGGCTCATTCGCAAAACCACAAATTTCTGCAATCCCGCCCTCCCAGGTCCTCCAGCTCTTCCCTGGGGGGCATGAACACTGTTAAGAATTAAAAACTGGAAGGCTGGAGAGAGAGTGATTAATGGTGTTTACTTCTCTTGCAGAGGACTGGAGTTTGATTCACAACACTCATATTGGACAGTTTACAACCACCTGTAACTCCAGCTCTGGGATATCTCCTGGCCTCCAAGGGCACTGGCACTCATGTGTACACACACACACACAGTTTTTTTAAATAATAACAACAATGTTTTTAAGAATTAGAGATTGAAATTCAGAGAAACCCTGTCTTGTAAAACCAAAAGAAAAAAAATTAGAGATTAACTGGGTGTGCTGGGTGGTGGCGGCACACGCCTTTAATCCCAGCACTCGGGAGGCAGAGGCAGATGGATCTCTGTGAGTTCAGGGTCAGCCTGGTCTACAGAGTAAGTTCCAGGGCAGGCTCCAGAGTTACACAGAGAAAAAAAAGAAAGAATTAGAGATTGCTAGCAGGGAATAGGGAATGGTGGCTCATGCCCAGAACTTAGGAGGCAAGGAAAGCAGACCTCTGTGAGTTCAAGGTCAGCCTGGTCTACAAAATTAGTTCTAGGACAGGCAAGGCTATTACACAGGAAAAAAAAAAATGAAGACTGAGGACTTGAGAGATGGCTCAGAAGTTAAAAGAATTGGTTGTTCCTCCAAAGGACCTACGTTCAATTCTCAGCACCCACATGGAGGCTCACAACTGTCTGTAACTGCAGTTCCAGGGAATCCAACACCCTTTTCTGGCATCTGTGGGCATCAGGCACACATACAATGCATGTAGTGCAGTGCATATAATGCATTCAGACAAAACACCCATACACATAATAAAACAAAAAGTAAAATATTTTTTAAAAGAGCATTAACTGTACAATCCTGAGGATCAGAATTGGGGGCCTGGTACCCACGTAACAAGCCCAATGTGGTTCTACCCATATCTGTAAAGCCACCATTGAGGGGGAAGAGACAGGAGGACCACTGGGACTGGCTGGCTAACAGCCCAGCCAAGAAAGAATGTGAGCTTCAGCTTCAGGAAGAGGCCCTGCCTCAAAGGAATAAAGCAGAGAATGACAGAGGACTCCGGACACCCTTCTTTGATCTCCATGCCCTCCCTCTCTCTCTCTCTCTCTCTCTCTCTCTCTCTCTCTCTCTCTCTCTCTCTCTAATTTTTCTTTAGGAATTAGAGCTCTCCAGGAGGCAGGACGCTTGATTGGCCCTGTCCGCTCCTTAGCCTGCTTCACGACTGTCCCGTGTGTGCTTCACGACTGTCCCATGTGTGCTTCACGACTGTCCCTTGTGCTCTCTTTTCTTGGACCCTACTCCCAAATGCAGCCTTCCTCATCCTTGGCTGCTGCGGTTTGAGGTCTGAACAAAGTGGGGAGACCTGAACTTGAAGGAAACTGACAGAGAAGGAGGGCAAAGGAGTCATGAGACCCTGACTCAAGAGAGGACGTGTGTTCCTACACAGACCCAGTAGCAGCACGAGGGACTTACCACAGCTCCAGGACTTTGGGAGGAAGCTTTTCAGGAACCTGGTAATACTGGAGGACCCAGGACAGGACTTCTCTCCACCGATTCATTTCTGCCAGAGCCTGGATTCCCACGACGCACAGGGAGCACTTCACCTCCACAACACTGTCAGCAGAAAGGCACGAGTCAGGGTTAGAAGCCTTCGCCCTCTCTCCGTTCCCTCTTCCACTCAGACCATCCGTTCCCTCTTCCACTCAGACCAGTGTCCAGCATCCAACTCGGAGCCTACCACCTTACCTTTTCTGTTAGTAATTGGACCAGGCCTCACCACTGGTCTCTTATGCTGCCCCCACACCCATCCCCAGAATTAAGTTCTGGAAACCTTTTAGAGGCAAAAGAGCTATTGCCCAATGCACATCTTTGGGATCAGAATTGAATGAGCTGGAGGTCATCCTGTGGGGACAGCACAGCACCTGTGGGGAGCTAGCACGAAGCACCAGGTGTGTTGAAGCAGAGTGGGCACCAAGAGTTTGCTTAGTGACAAGTGGGCTTGCAGAGGTGTCTGACTGGGTATCCATATAGAAACCCAGCTGGCCTCTAAGAATTATCTATGTCCAGATGGTCATAAGCAAAGTCCCCAATATTCACTGTGCAACCTCTGCCCACCTAAAAACCACAGCCAACCTCTCCAGTTTTTGTTTCTCTGCTATCAAATTTGACGATTCATTCTGCCTTCTCCCTCCCTAGTATGCTCATACAGCCCTAAGGAAGGTAACACTCCACAGGGCAACGGTGCCCCCAGCTGCCAGAGGAGGCCTATGCATTAGAACGAGCAATCCCGGGCAAGTATTTCCTAAAAGTAATTCATTCAATCCTTCAACAGAACCAGACCACTCTGCCTTGACCCCATTTTCCATGATCTGACAAAGCCATGAGTGAATAGGGGGTGGGTCCCCAAAGGAGGCCTCCTGCTACGTGCTTACTGAAGCCCTTACAACGGAACACTTGGTTGACATTCACCCTGTCCTCCTGCCCTGAAAGTGAGGAAAGAATTGGCTGTGGCTTCCCCGCAAACTGTTCATCATTTGACTTCATTGTACAGTGACCCTTTCTTCCTCGGTAGCACGGGTGCAGAATGAGCAACCAGCCCCTCCCAGAGAGGATCCCCCAGTGAAAGCAAGGTGTCAGGTCCGTGCAATCCGGCAATGCCAGAAACTCCTCCCCAAAAGGATCAGAAAGGAAGGCAGCCCAGCACATACGTGCCACTTGTGGGCTCCTCGGCCAGGCTCTGCCAAGCCCGTTCGCAAGTCTCTAACGCGGCATGGAAGTCCAGATGCACCACCAACAGGTCGGCCGCCTCCTCCAGCAGGTGCACCGCGGGTGACACAGCCGGAAGGGCACGCGCAGGCTCGCTGCTCCGCAAAGGGCCCCCGAGCCCTTTCAAGGGGGCTGCAGAAGTCGAGGCGTCGCCCTTCATAGTCAGCCTGGTCTCGGCCGGGTCTCCTCACAGGTCGGGAGGCCAGTTCTCCAGAGCTCCTAGAAATCCGGAATGGGGGGCCGGTAGATGACCGGCGGGCGTCGTACTCTTCCCCTCCACGCCTCCCCAGGTCAGTTCCTAGGAAAGGACCATGAAGACGCTGGACCCGAAGCACAGCCCGCGCTCACCGACAGCCTAACTCTTGCGGGACTGGCCTGCACGTAAATCGTGATGCTGCCAAACGCCAGGCACTTACTCCTCCCACCCCTCGACAAGTGCTGGAAGAACCCGAGCTCCCAGAGTCGCAAACGCGCCCCACCTCCACCCCCGCCACTACGGCGCACGCGCGCGTCCAGGAGCACGGGACTCTGGGAGTTGTAGTCCTGGCCTCTTGGTTCTGTGACGCTTAGGGGAGCTTTCCCACTACAGCCTCAAACCTCTTGCACCCAGAGACTGTCATCCTGCAAAGAACACACCACCTCACTAACTTTGGGCTGGAAAAGGTGGGGCATTTAAATCATTCATAAAATCGCCTATGTCCTGTAAAATAGGATCCTTTTCTCACTCACCGGAAGAGGCAGGGCGGAAGAAATTCCAATAAGGAGGTGGAGCTACCTGCACCTTAGTCTGAACTTCCGAAGGGGTGCGTTGAAGACGTCAACAGGGAGCTTAGGACAATGAAACACCGAACTAGCTATTTCCCTTTCCTGCGTTCGTTACTTTTAAAGTGTGGCACAGTGCAAAGTGCTTTCTGTGCATTCTTAGTTATTTCTCCATGTTAAGGACAGTTATTACTCTTTTACAGTCAAACCAAAGGAAGCACTTTTTTGGCTGAAAGGAATGTCGGGGTGGAGATAGAACTGATCTACGCTTTGTACTCAGCAGATGATCCAACAATACACAAGTGAGTCACATAAGCTCTTGGGACCTGCATTGTTTACGTAAAATAAAGATATCTTAAAAGCAAAGCCATGCATGTGTAATGCAATTTTTCAGTACAGTACTGGGACCAAAGTAAGAAATGCTAAGTTGTGGCTACTATATATGGTTTGTTTGTTTGTTTGTTTGTCTTTTGAGATAGGATTTCTCTGTGTAGTCCTGGCTTTCCTGGAACTCACTTTGTAGACCATGCTGGCCTCGAACTCAGGGATCAGACTGCTACCACTTGCTGTTATACAGTTTTACACAGACCCATAAACCAGTTGTTATCTGTGTGCTTCAGGGTTTCCTAACTCTTCTACATGTATTCTCAGCCTTCTTGTTTTACCTTTGTCCAGTTCTCTAGCTTCTGGACTCTCTCCCAAGCTTTCCTAGAACCATTTGCCCCCTCAGTGACTGGATATGGCAGGCAGGCACCAGGCCAGGACCTGCTCACCTCATGCATACCTTCTTCTGGCCCAACAGCCTGTAAGTCTCTACAGAAAGTCCTGGCAGCTGAGACAGGAATGTCGAGTCTGCCAGGCTCTGGTTCTGTGACGAAGGTGAAAAGGGCAGGATGTCCCTCGTTTAAAATACTGTTTAATTTGCTTTTCCCCTAAGGACAGGAGAGATAGCTCAGTGGTTAAGAGCACTTGTTCTCGTGGAAGACCTGGGTTCAATTCCCAGCACCCACATAGTCACAACCATCTGTACTCTAGTTCCAGAGGATCCAACGCCTCTTCTGACTTCCTGGGGCAGAGGGCTTGCACATGGTGCACATACATACATGTAGGCAAAACATTCACACGCATAAAATAAGATAAATAAATCTAAAATATATATTTTTAAATATTCTACCTGTGTTTATGTGCCCCCAGGTAGGTGCCGCAGTACAGGTGTGGAGGGCAGAGGACAGCCTGCAGGGGTCAGTTTTCTCCTGCTTCCTTTTGTGTCTTGGAGATCAACCTCAGCTTACCAGGCTCGGGGGTTAGCTCCTTTACCCACTGAGCCGTCACACTGGCTAGTGTGTGGCAGACATCATTCTAGACACTGAGGGTATCACAGAAATCAAGGACAGAGCCTTCAGGAGCTTGTATAATAACAGAAGGAAACAAACAACAAAAATAAACAAAAGTTTATTAATAAACAAATGTACAGCCAGGCAGTGGTGGTGCACGCCTTTAATCCCAGCACTCGGGAGGCAGAGGCAGGCGGATCTCTGTGAGTTCCAGACCAGCCTGGTCTACAGGAGTGAGTTCCAGGACAGCCTCCAAAGCAATACAGAGGAACCCTGTCTCAAAAAAAACAAAAACAAAAAAATGTACATGTCTTAGACCCAGTTACTCCTGCAATTGCTGTGGAGAGATTATTTTGAGGCCAGGAATTGGAGACCAGCCTGGGCAACACCAGTTTCTAAATATATACGTACATGTGTGCATACATACATCTAAGCATTAAAATACAGTTAATGGTGTTGTCAGAGGATAAAGACTAAGGAGAAAGAGAAGAGAGATGGAGGCAACCATGGAGAGACCAGCGCAATAGATACATTTGCCTTTGTTTTCTAAAAGCAAGTCCAGAGACAGAGACAGAGCATACAGAAAACATGGTCTTTGTTTTCTAAAAGCAAGTCCAGAGACAGAGACAGAACACACAGAAAACATGGTCTTTGTTTTCTAAAAGCAAGTCCAGAGACAGAGACAGAACACACAGAAAACATGGTCTTTGTTTTCTAAAAGCAAGTCCAGAGACAGAGACAGAACACACAGAAAACATGGTCTTTGTTTTCTAAAAGCAAGTCCAGAGACAGAGACAGAGCACACAGAAAACATGGTCTTTGTTTTCTAAAAGCAAGTCCAGAGACAGAGACAGAACACACAGAAAACATGGTCTTTGTTTTCTAAAAGCAAGTCCAGAGACAGAGACAGAACACACAGAAAGCATGGTCTTTTTGCCGTGCACGGTCCTTGTTATTAGGGCTCACTATCTGGAACATCACGTTTGGAGCCAACATATTCTCTGTGTCATTGTGAGGAGACCCTCTTCCGCAACAGACAACATTTACTCCCTGAAGCCAACACTAAGACAAAGCAAAGATACTTGGCATGTGAATTGGGTAGACTGAGACTGCCAAAATATTCCGTCAGCTCTGCCTCCAATGAACATTAAATGATAAAGATCATTAGTAATAACATAATTATGAGGTTGCAAAACATAACAGCTCATCTGTTTCTCAAACTGAGTTACTGATTTTTTTTTTAATTTTAATGTGGATGGGTGTTTTGCTGCATGTATGTCTGTGTGTCATATGCATGCCTGGTGCCTGCAGAAACCAGAAGAGGGTGTTATATTGGATCCCCCAATATATGGAGTTACAGATGTTTGTGAACCACCGTATGGGTGTTGAAACTCCAAACCTGGGTCCTGTGGAAGAGCAGCAACTGCTATTAACCTCTGAGCCATTTCTCTAGTCCCTTAAACCGAGTTTAAAAGTATACCTTGAAGCCGGGTGTTGGTGGCGCAAGCCTTTAATCCCAGCACTTGGGAGGCAGAGGCAGGAGGGTCTCTGTGAGTTCGAGACCAGCCTGGACTACCAGCCAGGACAGCCTCCAAAGCCACAGAGAAACCCTGTCTCGAAAAACCAAAAAAAAAAAAAAAAAGTATACCTTGAAAACTCAGAAGAGCAGAAATTGGGAGGTAGTTCAGTTGGTGACTCAGCTGACGATCAGTTGCAAGAATGAGGACCTAATCTTGGATTCTCAACGGCCATATTAAAAACAAACAAAACAAAGCAAAAAAAAAAAAAAAACAGGTGCAGTGGCACATACCTGTAATCCAGGCCTCTTAAGTGGAAACAGGAAAATCTCTGGGACTTACTGAATACCCAAGATAGCCAGATCAATGATCTCTAGGTTCAGTGAGACACCCAATCTCAAAAGATACATTGAAAAGCAATAGAGGAAGATACCCAATGTCAACCTCTGGCCTAAGAGGTCAGAACAGTAAGAGCTGAGAGAGCAGCAAAAAATAGAACACAAATTTTGTTTTGTTTTGTGTTTTGTTTCTCTGTGTAGTAGTTCTGACTGTCCTGGAACTCACTTTGTAGACCAGGCTGGCCTCAAACTCACTGAGATCCTCCGTCTCTGCCTCCCAAGTGCTGGGATTAAAGGTGTGTGCCACCACCACTGGCCGGCAACAAAAATTAATAATAATAATAATAATCAGGGGGAGGGGGAGGGGGAGGAGGAGGAGGAGGAGGAGGAGGAGGAGGAGGAGGAGGAGGAGGAGGAGAAGAAGAAGAAGAAGAAGAAGAAGAAGAAGAAGAAGAAGAAGAAGAAGAAGAAGAAGAAGAAGAAGAAGAAGAAGAAGAAGAAGAAGAAGACAACGACGACGACAACATAAGCAAACTGAGGCTGCCACCAAATAGAGTCACCACTGTGTGATTGAGGCCAGGAGACTTCTTTCTTACTACCTAACAAATTTTTCCACTATTCCAGATTTGTCCAGCAGATGGCAGACTAGCCTTTTTTTTTTAAATCTTCCTTACCAGACAAATTTTCCTAGTGGTACAATAATCAGAATGAGGTCAAGCTATTTAAAGCAGGAGTGGGATGTGCTAAACTCATATAAAAATAAAATTGTGTCAATGTGTGCTAAATGCATGTGTTAAAACATCACAATGAAACCCATTATTTCTTACAGTTAATATGCATAATAAATGTTAATGAAAATAAGCTTGTGCTTCATTTGTTTCACTTGACCTTCAGCTATGCATTTGGGGCTCCATAGTGGTCTGTATGTCAGCGCCTAACCTTTGGCAGATTGACTCCTCAGCATACCCCTGCAGTGACCCACTGTCCCCTGTTTCTGAGTATGCCCAGTTTCTCCAGTGCCAGTCTGTTCTGTGTATGAGAAAGTGAACATGCATGACATACTACACCTGAGCAGCCAGATTTCTTCCTAACTCAGGGCCCTTGATACAGGGACGTTTGGGAAGCACCTACCTTCCTGCCATTCGCTCATCCTTGAAATACCAGGAGTAGAACGAAGCACAGTTCTCCCCATCAGCAAGGCCTGGCCTGCGTTAGTATCTGTATTGGTGGGATTTTCTCACTTCGGGAAAACCAGCAGGGGGAATGAGACACCTGTCTCCTGGTCTTATCCCAGCTCCTAGTGCCTTCCTGTGATGATGCAGTGCTCCTCCTTCTAGGGGCCATCCTCAGGACTCGGCTCTTCACATGCAGGTAGCTACAGCATGGCACCCCGCTGTGGCAGAAGAAAAGTGAGACTCTGGTTACATTCTTGGTTCTGTCTGTGACAAAGCTGGCTGACCTCCATGTAACTATCCAACTTCCCTGTGCGTCAGACTTCTCTAAGGATGTGGGCACTAGCACATGCCACATACACACATGCAGCTGAGCATCTGGAGATTCCAAATCTGTGGCATCCTTCAGGCTAATGACTGGTGTCACATATTCAGGCTCAAGTAAGGAACGGAAAGTGTTCTTCACCTCCAGGCTCTGGAATCTTTGTGATCCTACTTTTAAGAACAAGCTGTCCTTGAACTTGCTATGTAGCAAAGGACGACCTTGAACTTCCCCTGAGTGCTGGGATTATAGGCTTATGTCACCACACCCGGTTTATATGGTCGTGGGGATTGGACTCAGGGCTTCATGCATATTAGGAAAGCCGTCTGCACACTGAGACACATCCTCAGCCTGGAATCCAACTCTAGCTAGACGCTTCTGTGCAAAGTCAGATGCGTTCACATCTCTGGTCAGCCTGGCCCATCATTCCAAGCCAGTAAACTGTCTCCTCAGCGGCCCTCTCCACAGATTCCAGCCAACCTTTGGTCCTCAGTACAGGCTATCTTTATCCATGCTTCACAGGCGATAGATGCCACCGTGCATGAACCTTTGGCCTGGTGAAAGCCAAGTAAGGGCAGGGTGGAGAGAAGGCTTTCCCAAGACTTCAAGGGTGTGCCTTCCTGCTCTAGACCTCTCAGGCATTTTTGTGGCTCTTTGGTAAAGCTGAGACTCAGGGCACAGGG